GGAGCCCAACCGACCGAATTCACCCGAAGGAAAACAAACTCGTCGGAAGTGAGACGCAGTAAACTTTCGTCCCTTTTTTTAAAAATTAATTTCCCCTATTTACTCGAGATCGGGTTAGGCAGGAGAGGGGGTCCAAGGAGAAGGTGAGAGACAAATGGAAGTGGAGGAGAGAGGAGAGAGAGAGAGAGAGACGAGGAATAAAGTGGTGCAAGTGGAGATCAACAAAAGATTAAGTCACAAAGGCGAACAGCTGATTGGACTTTTAAAGTGCAGACGTGTATGATTTTTTTCCATCCCTGTATTTTGGTGGTGTTTGTTTCAGGTTTTGGGTTGGCAGAACGCTGGAGGAATAAGGGAGAAGGATGTGAATTGTTGTGGTGTTGGTTGTGGGATATACATTGCTGGTTTGAAGAGATAATAGTGATTGTTAATGCTGGTTTACGAAGCAATTGATACTCGTTATCCAATAAATAGAAAGGGAGCTTGTAATTGCTCTTCAATGACACTTACATGTATGAAAGTATCGTCTTATTATTGTTTTTGACTACTGAAAAGTATGACCATTGGAACAAGACTAACCAGGCTAATGTTGGTCAAATGTATGTGAAATAGCTGCTTTCCTAGCATTGTGTTTTAATCTGATGAAATTCAGGTACCAGTACGAGCCAGTATATATTTATTAAATGTATATTGATTCTGATTAGTATGAATCTTGATGTTCCTACGGAGAGAGACTTGATAGTTTAGCCAAGAGAAGTGAGATCATGGTTATTTTTCATACTTGAGGCTACTGTAGTGAGTATTATGAAACTTTCAGGACAAGAGACCACACCTGACCTGGAAAAATATTGTCATAAATGTTTGTGAAATTCTTGACTAAAAAAGCTCATTTTAGCCTGATGATTTTGAATCAGTACAGTAAATGAAGCTTATCCTTGAATTCATGTTCTGCCGCATTGAGAGTGACTGTTAATTTATTGCGACTGTACAGAGGTACACAGAAACCTGACATCCTAATAAAAGAATGCAAATGACATTCAGTGCTATATAGTTTAAAATATGCAAATGAGGGATAAATGCACAATCATATATGACAAAGGATACCCACACTGGGCCTACAAAACAGGTGTTTATTGCACAGATTTACTGCATGTGCTGAAGTATGTAGCCCAGACCAGCACATGGTGTTAGCTCGATGCTGTCCTATTACGAGTAATTACTAAATTAAGTACTGAGATAGCTGTTCTTAACAGGATTTTAGGAAATGCTTTTACTTTTGAGGCTGAAATGTAACTGTTTTTTATTTATTAAGCACCTTTAATTCATATATTTATGTTTAAGCTAGATTCCACACATGTAGTCTAATCATTATCAGAATGGTATTATGAATTTTTAGAATTGTAAAATGAAGGGACTCGTTACTAATCTGAATTGTTTTGTAAGATGGTAATAGAGGATGCCAGATAATGTTGATAAATAAGACTAGTGTCATCACAAGTAGGAGTACTTGCCCAGAGGAAAACAAAACAATAAACTTGCTCACTCTTTGGTCTGGCTTCCCATCCCCTGACTTTCTGCTTGGTTAGTCCATTGCTGATTTTGTTTTCAGAGTCCTTGAAGTGTAAACGTCACTGCATAACATTGTATAGATTACTTGAAATATATGTAATCGTTTGAATTACATTAAGTATTATTTGGGTATTTTAGGTCAGATTTCTGTGTAATGCTTGCCCATATGCTCTGAGATCTCGACTCCAGTATATGTAAAGATGTTATGTTATCTTTGCTTGCTATGCCCATGATGTAATAATTAGGAAGGAATAATTGTTAGTAAGTAGTAAACAACCAATTAGTCTGTCTCTCATATATTTATGCCATGAACACCTGCTGAAGGGGGTGGCCTTGACAAGATGGCCCTAGATTATTTCTTCCATCTTAGAGCCTTTATACTTACTGACATACTGCACATCTTATTAGTCATAGGAATGAAGGACCACAATCATGTTCCCAGGCAGAGTCCTTCAACAGCAAGGCCATATAGCTAGTGTGGGTTTACTCCTGTCTTGATAGGAATCCTTGCTCCTATCTCCAGCACATCTTACCACCAGATACAAAGGCTGGGAAGGACGCTGGGCATTATACTTACTGCAGTAGATTTCATGATTGAATTAATGGTTTGCATAATTTGTAAAGTAGATTTCAGAAATAGGATATAAGTTATAATTTCTCTTCTCATAATTTATTTCTTGTATCTTGAGTGATCCTTTTTTTTTCTCAGTGAAAAAGTTTAACAATTACAAAAAGACTAATAAGTAAGTGCTATTCAGACACCCAGCTGTCACTGTCTTGCATATTATTGAAATGGGGACTCTTTAAATCTCTGTATTTTTGTATCAAAGATTTTTTGTATTATAAGGATTGTATGCAAGACATTCAGAATACGTCTGTGTGTGATATATAATGTTGTCATTTTTTTCCTTGAACATATATATGTAGTATATTTCCTAAATATACCATATCATGTAGAAAGAGTGCTGTTGGCAATGCTGTCTTTAAAGTTAATATGATTTTGGCACATTCTTTTTTTTGTTTGTTTGTTTCTCATCAATGGCTCCTCTTGTTTCTTTTCAGTTATGAGGTGATATGTTGTAGCAACTGCAGGCAAAATGCTTTACGTATTTCTTGTGGATACAGGGACCATGATGACCTTTGACATGAACTTGGCACTGGAAAAGTGAGTTGGTCTCATGTATTTTTTTTCTTCTTCATAACAAAAAATTATCAAATCTGTTATTTTTAAAATTTCACACTCATTTCAGTCATACCTATGGTAGAAAAACCCACAAAGTAAAAAACTAGATTTATTGAAGATGAGATGACAGTTTCGAAATCCACCTGGATTCCATCCTCAGGTCAGACCTGAGAATAGAATCCAGGTGGATTTCGAAATTGTCTTCTCATCTTCAATAAATCTAGTTTTTTACTTTGTGGGTTTTTCTACCATAGTATCAACACGGTAGAGTGTTTTCTTCATTCAGTCATACCTATGTAGGCAGGGGAAGAAATAAAATGAAATATCCAAGCGTATCTAAATGGGATTTCTAATCATGTGTATTTTTGTATATGCCTTTTCATAGTTGCATTATGAATTAGTGTCACCATCAGTTTTATGCACCAATGCAATATAATGTATTTGAAAATGGGACGTTGAAGGTGTCATGGGCACCTGCAGAAAATGGCAATGAGTTCAGAAATTTCTGAAAAGAACCTTATTGATGATCCCATATGAATAATGCTTTGTGTTTCATTATTATTGCCATCCATAATTGAATATACATATGTCTGGCAGTTTCTTGCAAATTATCTGTAAAAGTTATATGTGCTAACACACAGCTCCCTATTCTTTAATTTAATTGAGATTGAGTTTATGTATTACAATCTTAAATGATGACCCTGCCAATAATTCTACTTTACCCCCCCCCCCCTCCCTGTTAATTCCAAGAGAACTCAGTGCTGGTTTGACTGTCATAAGGAACATACATTATCTCTTAAGTATCATATAAAAAAAAACTGTATTTTCTATATATTTTTTGTTTCCAATATGATAATATAGGGATTAATTTTACATTTAATAATAAATATTTTCCCTGTTTTTTATTCTGAGATCTGCCAGCACGACAGCTAGGCATTATATAATATGCCAATGAGAGAGTTAGCCTTATAAAAGTATCCCAAATATACAAAAGATTTTCATTAGTTGAACTAAGACTTTATTATTAATTTTTTCATTATTAGTTTTATCTGTTATCTAACCCCTTTTTCTTGTACCCTTTAGTGTGTCAGTTCTGAAGGAGGTCATTCACCGGTCCATGAAGGTACCCCCAGAGAAGCAAGTCCTGCTCATCTCTGGGGGTGAGGCTCTCGACCCCAGCCTCCGCGTGTGTCAGTACTCGGCTGGAACGGATACCAACCCTATTTTCCTCTTCTCTAAATCCACAATAGAGGGGCAGAATCCTCCATCCCCAAGCATTGACTATGGCTCCGACACTGATCTACAGGTGAGATAACTTTCCTGTTCCTTCTCCCTTTTTCTCCCTTTTTCTGTTTTCTTTCCATCTGCTTTTCCTTCTTTCTTTGTTTCCTTGTTAACAGTTTTCCCCTTTTTTAATGTTTGCTGTTTTTTCATCTATTTGTTTTGGACGGATTTGCAGAATTGTATAAAATTTGTAACTGTTATTGTTGTAATTATTCATTGAAGACACAGTATAAGATTGAGTAGGCCTAATTGAATATGTGTGATGACCACGATATTTCTAAGTAACTAGCATTTGTGTTTGAAGGCTACATAAAAGCTTCATATTTAAATATTTGAATATTGACAGTTCTCAATGGCTAGATCTTTGTGAGTAACATCAAAGAAAGAATGAGAGAAAAAAAAGTATTAAAAGACAGTAAAAACAGCGTATCATCGATTGTTCACTGAGCTATTCATCCTTTGTTGCAGGACCAGGTTGAAGGTGCCCTGAACATGCCAGCCAGTTACAACACAGTGGTGGCTCGAGCCCAGCTTGCACAGCAGTTTCACGAACACTCAAGAGATCAGACGAGAATATGCCAGCAGCTAGTTCATGATCAGCACTTGCAGCAACAGGGTTAGTTTTGTATATTGTGTATTTGTATATTTTTGAGTGTAAAGGTATTTGTCTCAGTAAGTGTGTTTGTGATCTTGTCATATCTCATATATCTATTTTTTGTGGTGAGTGACCCTTTTTATGTATGGATTTGGTTTGGAGCCATGGAAATTAATGTAACATTGCAGTTGAGTGCAGCACAAAAGGTTTCATGTTTGGATGAGGTCCAGCTTGTCTCCTTTAACACATGATGAGCCTCTAGTTATGGTTGGATTGTGAGGAATAAGTTTCAGTGTTGATATTCAGTCTTCAGTTAGGTTTCCAAAAGATCACTCCGCATAAAGTTATTTAAGGCACTTGTTAACATAA